TGGCGGCTAGCCCTGCCTGGAGAATGCAGCTCTACCCTCCCTACCTGGAACTGAGTGATTCCAAATCTTGCCGTGCAGCACTTCCCCCCCCACCCCCGCCACTCCCTTGCTAAGACCCGTCCGTCCCACTGGTCCATCTAGTCAGCCCATCCTGGGCGTCCCCTCTGCCAGGAGCTGCAGGTACAGAGACAAGTGCAGGGCCTGTCACTCTCCCCAGGGAGGACACATCAGGGAGGGACAAGCCAGGACTGAGACGCTCTAGAATGCCACTCCAGACCTGCCCTCACTTTGACATCTGGTTCCTTTTGCTTGTCCCTCGAGCATACTGTGGTGGCTGTTGTCTGCAGGGAGAGTGGCCAGGAAGATCTTGGGAAGCAAATGTCTGCAACTCTCTCTCCCTGCCCTCCTTCAGACCTGCATCCTCTGCCCTCCTAATGCTCGGACCTGGAGCTCATTTCCATTTCTCTTCTGCAAGAGTTCTTGCCGCCTTAGCCATAGCATCTTCTGGTGCCGGGGTCCCTAGACAGTCTACTGTATCTCATTCATAGAGGACGCCCCCCATGGTCATACACACCACTGTTTAATGTACCACTAGGAAGGAAGTCATGCCACGAATCACACCACAACGTGGCATCGACTGTAAGACACGTGCTGTTGGCAAATGACCGTAGTTGAAGTCCGAGGCGGGTCTACAGTGGGAATCCTGGTGTCCCTGTGGCTTCCTGGGTGAGCTGCAGAGACAAGTGCGGGTAGTGGTCAACCATCATGTCTTCTCCCAGCCGGGATCCACTGACCCTCCGGGCTGCTGCTTCCCCTGTGATGTGGCCATCTGAAACTTGGCTGCTAAAGACCATGGCCCAAGACAGAGCCAGGTGAGGTGCTCCAGCCTAGGGGTGTTCAGATCCCAAGGAACCCCTCGTTGAAGATGGCTGCTGTTGGGCGAGGAGTCCCATGGTGGATCCTAGGGAAGCCAGAATACCTCCCTTCCAGGGCTAAAGGTACCTTTCCACTGGCTGAAGTGAAGGCAGAACTGCCTCTAAAGGGAGAATTGATTTTTACCTTCTGTGTCTCAGGCAAAGCAGGACACATGATATTGTCCTCACTCTTCCCCTCAGTACCCACTTCAGTGGCTCGGGAAGGGGCCACTCGGCAGAGCCCACAGCCAAGTGGGCAGACAGGCCTAGTCATCTGCTCCGAGGCCTGGGACTTACCGAGGCCGTGCACCCAGCCCGGCCCATGGGGACATCTAGAGCTGCACACCTCCCCAGGTCGCTTGTCTCTGTTGTACGGTCCCAAGTGGCCAGAGACACCAAAGCTCCATCCTGGTGGTCACTTCTCTACTGACCAAGGTCAGTAATACTAATCGTCACTGTAGCAAACACGTGTATAGCCCCAACTAGTGCGGTCCCTGCACTATGTGATGGTAAATCAGCTCATCCTTACAACTACCCTAACAGGTGGAGAGTAGAATTACCACCACCCCATTTTAGAGATGAGAAAACCAAGGCACAGGAAGGGTAGGCAACTTGCTCAAAGTGCCACACGGGTGGCGGAGACTGAGCTGAGATCAGGTCTCGTGGATTGGTTCCAAAGCCAGTGCCTCATCAGCTCTCCCAGGGCTATGTGAAGGGCGTGGGATTGACAGGCTGCTTTTCTGAGGCTACTGTGGGTTACAGGGTTCCTTCGTTCCTGTGCCCACCCTCCCTCCCTTTCTGGCTTCTGCTTGGATACCCTTGCAGTTGATTGACAATGCTAATTTATAGCTCACATCCACTCCCCGAGGCAGGCAGCTCCTGTTAAGCCCATTTCACAGATGGGGAAACTGGGTCTCCAAGCCTGTGTGAAATCCCACAGCCAGAGAGTGTGGCAGGACAGGATCCAAGCCCCATCACCTGTAGGACTACAGAGCCAGGACACTTAGCCCCCACTCCCCGTGGCCTGCCTACCATTGTCCCCTCCCCTGCCCTTTCCTGGGGTGGCATAGGCACTGGTACCTATTGGGGCTGCCCTGACACCTCCTGGAGGGGGCCGGGCTGGCTTCCTGCTGTTCACAAGGTGCTTTCCTGCCGGTGGGAACAGGGAGCACTCGCAGACCCTCACCTGCTGTCTGGAGAGTGCATGCAGTGCTTTCCCACACTCCACGCTTATTACACCAGATACTGTTCTCAGCACGGTGTAGGTGTTAGTGTCATTCCAGTGTCACAACCGTCCTAAGGAGTGGGCGTTAGCATTACGCCTGTTTAACAGATAAACTGAGGCCCAGAGAGCCTGTGTAATTCGCCCAAGGTCGCGTAGCTCTCCGTGCTGGGACCCAGACTGTCAGGGTGAGTGGTACTCCCAGGACCAGACACAGGGCTGCCCGTGGTGGCTGTCCAAGCAGCAGGAGGGCCACTCCTGCCCCTGCCTTAGCCCCTTAAGATGGCTGGTATCTCTTCCTGAAACTCCGCCCAGTGCGAGCATCCTTGTGCACACCAGTGCCTTCCCATCCTTCCCACCCCATCCAGGGACTCTTCATGCCTGGCATCCCTCCCGAGCCCCAGAGCCTGTGCTCAGTGGTCCCTTTTCCTTCCCCACCGCAGAGAGGGCCCAGAGTAGAGACCCACAGGACCCGACGGACACGCAGCAGAGCCAGCCCCATCAGAGCACACGTGCTCCGCTCAGCTTGGATGCAGGCAGCGCGCACCCAGACACCCCACCCTGCTGGCCTTCTGTCCTTGTGTGACCCCCGACCCGCCTCAGTCAGGCCTCCTGGTCCTCGGACAGTGCCCAGACTCCCTCCTTGGCCGCACACTCCCACCTGCGTCTGAACAGCTCGTGTGGGTCTGCAGCATGAGAGAGCACGCACTGTGTCCGTGCCACGGCCCCCGTGCGTCTATGCTAGCCAGCTGAGCGGGGGGAGGGTGGTGCCTTCCTCGCTCCCTGCCCTCCTCCTCCGGGGCTGTCCTGGCATCTGTGGTACGTCGTGACTGGCCAGTACACACGTCACATCTGCTCCCAGCGTCCCAGACTCTTCGCAGCCAGGCCCTGCGAGGCCACCAGCTTCTTTTCATTCCCTTTATGGGAAACCACTCCACTAGCGATAGGCCGGCGCGAGCTGTCCTTGACCAGGCGGGGGGGTGGCCCGTGACATTGGAGGAAAGCTCCTGCCCGGCGAGGTGGCCCCCGGGGGGAGCGCGGGCTGGGAGGGGCGGCCGCGGGCAGCGGACGGCACCATCTGTGGCCGTCCTTTGTGCTGGCAGCCAAGCAGTCCCTCCGTCGCCGCGATCCGGCAGGCCTCGTGCTTGGCGTGCAAATGAGTTTCCAGATGCCCAGTGCCGCGCCCCCCCCGCCACCAAGAAGCGGTAACGAGGGGCTTGGGAGAAGAATGGAGCAATCTGGAAATTCATTTCTGTTCGTTCCAACCTCTCTGAATAGACCGCCTCCCCCTCCAGCTGCGACAGATGTGTGCTGGATGCCCGCTTCAGGGGCGTTTGGCCGCGGTTCTGGGCAGACACACGCTGGGGTAGGGGCCTCTCTGGCACCCTCCTCCCTGTGCAGGTGGTGGCAAGATGAGCCTCACAGAGAGACCTAGCTCCCCCATTGGCACCCCCCCTCCCACCCCAGAGACAGAAACAGGTGCTCTCCCGGCCGGGAGCACAGGCTGGTGTTTAGCCCGTGCTGGCCTCCTTGATTGGGTGTCTTTGGGCACCACACAAGCAAAGCAGACAAACCCGGCAACCCTGGGGGGCCCCTCCCCATCCTGCCCCGTTCCCTGTGAGAACCCCTGCCCTTCCCTTGCCCAGCAGCCCCTGCGCTTCCCCAGGAATGGGTATGCCACCCTGGCAGGCAGCTTCCAGTGGCACCGTGGACACAGGGCTCTCCCACTGGTCCTAACAGCTGCCTCTTGGCCCCTGCCCACCTGGTGAGGGGCAGGAAAGAATCCACCGCTCCTCAGGACTGACAGAGCTGATGTGGGCCATGGGCAGGGGCAGACAGGGCTGCAGAGGGTCCCAGCCCTGCCTCCTGGGTCCACGGGCTGATGGGGCACCCAGTCCAGGATCTGGGCGGTTTGACGTGACAGCCCTGGGCAGCCACCACAGGGCTTTGTGGAGCAAGGCATCTTCCCCAGTGCCAGCCAAACGTGGTAAAGGGGGGAGGTTCAGACGAGGCCGGAGGCCCAGAGAGGGTCTCTGAGCTCCACTGGTCCACACAGCAAGGTGGTGGCAGGCCAGCCTTCCCAACTTTCTCAAGCTCGTTGGACGGACTGGCCATACAAACTGACCTGGAGGGTGCTTTTGGCCCCTGGTGACCACATTAGGACAGTGAAAGGTGATTCCCCGGCACCCTGTTAGCTTCAGCTGCTTTTCTCTTGGTGTTTAAGGGCTCAAAGCCCGGATGGGGCGGGTCCTCCTGTACTGCCTTCCATGCCCCCGGCCCACTCTCGCTTAGGCCCGCACCCCACCCCCAGGCTGCCCTCTGCCGTGCAAATCCTTTGTCCTCCTAAGCCTGGGTGCCTAGCAGCACAGGGACCAGCCACAGGTCTGAACTGGAAGGCATGGGCACTTTTGCGGGGAGGACTTTCAGGGAGGAGCCTGCGGGCACTCTTGGGATCATCAGGAGGCTCTAGGAAGGCTCTGGATTCCGGGTGACTTTTGCTCCTCCTACCCTACCCGCGAGGAGAGGCCATGTTGAGCTGAGTGTCCAGAGGCTTCGCTGAGAAGTCTGGGGGAGGCCAGCACTTCCTAAGCTTTCCTGACACAGGGTCTGTGCTGGGCTCCCTCCCTCCCACTCCAGTGGCCTCTCCTTGGCACCATCTCGGACGTCCCCTCCATCGTGTCCATGCTCTCGACTGTGCCGCCTCTGGCCTGTCCTCATCAGAGTGAGGGCCATTTATATCGTCCCTCCTTCGGGGTGTCAGTCCCACTGTACAGGTGCGGCCAGTCTGGGAGGGCGAGGTGGCAGCAGGCATAGCCGGTGGAGGTGGCCGCGGGGCGCCCTGACCGTCGTGTCCTTCCTTGCAGCCCTGCTGTCCTCCTGGTGTGAGGAGCTCGGCCGTCTCCTGCTCCTTCGGCATCAGAAGAGCCGCCAGAGCGACCCCCCCGGGAAACTCCCCATGCAGCCCCCCCTCAACTCCATGAGCTCCATGAAACCCACTCTGTCGCACAGGTGAGTGGGCACGTACCTCCAGGGGCGGGCCGGGGGCTGCCGGGTGGGCCGATGGGCAGTGCCCCTCCGGTGGAAGACCTGGGGTGGGGGCCTCTGAGCAGCCAGGAGGATATTCTCTGTTTTTTAAACCCTGGTGGGGTGAGCACTGTCTCTCCCGCATCCCAGCAGAGGTTGAAAGTGCCAGTCTTACCCAGCCTGGCTGTGTTGTCCCTTCAGTGGAGGGCTGTTTCTTCTATTAGATTCTAGACTTTGGGCTGAACGTTAACTGTCCTGAACTCGGGGCCTCCCCTTTCTCCTGAGCAGGGCCCTGGGCAAACCCGGAGATACGCAGGGCCCACAAGGGGCTCAGGAACGTCACAGAGCTGGTGCTCTCACCCACAGGTGGGGACAGAGCCAGCCCAGGCCGGGCAGGCAGGAGCTGAGTGAGGCTGGGCTCTCAGCACAGGGGCGGGGTCAGAAGAAGCCCATGGTCACAGGTGGGAACGCCTGGGCGGAGGCTGTCGGGCACTGAGGAAGTAGCCGGTCTGCCCGGCACCAGCCTGCAAAGGAGCACGTGCTCAGGACCAGCCCGCCCTGCAGTTCCCTCGCCGAGCTGGGCCCGTTCTCTTGGGCGTGCTGACCCCAGAACAGCAGGGCCTGCCATGACCTCTGCTTTCCCTCCACACGTCCCAATGATGACAGGCTCGGGGGGGTCCGTTTGTAGTCAGAGCTAGGCTCTCATTCACGACACAGCCTGACGGAGGCGCCCAGAGCATGCGGCAGGCGACCTGGGTCCCACCGTGGAGCTGCTGCCACGAAGTCGGGCTTTGGCCACACTCTACAAATTGAATTAGGGGCTTTTGATTCTCAGAGCTGGGAGGGAGCTCCTTAGGTCCAGCACCCTGCCCCAACACGTGGTTCCCTGCCTCAGTCAGAAACACTTTATTCGACAGCAAGCCCTCCCCCACAGCCCCCCAGGGGCACTCCCTCACCACCCCCTCGGCCCAGCCTGTGACCCCTCAGACTCAGGACAGCCCCGCTTCTGTGGGTGTTTCTCAGTGGGGCGCACTCCTGGCATTGGGCCCCGGGCATTTAATGTCTCAGGCCCTGCCCACTCGGTTCTTCTAGTGCCCCCCGCCACCATGTTGTGAAAGCACCTTCACACGTTTTGGGGGGTGAGGGTGTTACCCGTAGTTAAGAACCACCACACAGGAAAGGCAAAACCCGCCTCTGGCCGCCATCCTCCCCCTTGCCCTGGCTCAGCAGAAAGCCGAAGGGCTTCTCCATCTGGACTCCTGCCAGCCACTCTGCACAGCCTATGGCTAAAGGCAGCCTTGACTGCCTGCCTTTATTTTAGCTTCTTACCGCTCTGCCCCACCGGGCTACTCCCGCTTCTTGTTGCCTCCCATCTGTCCATCCAGCCTTTCCTCCTCTGAGCCAGGACCACCAGGAAAGCGGTCACTGGTGGTGGGCCAGGGCCCTGCGGCCCCACGAGAGGCCTGTCTCACACCTGCTCGGCCGTGACCATTCAGGCTGCAGAGTGCTGCGGCTTTAGACCCCAGCCAGGCCTTCGCCAGGTCATTGCTGAGCTGAGCTGGAGGCCTGAGACTGTCCTGTCCTGGAGTTAACTGGATGGAGGATGTCTGTGCTCCAGGGAGCTGCATCTTGCTGGTTGGGGAGGAAGTAAGACCCAGTGAGGCAAAACTGAGACCTGATGGATTGAGGCAGGGTTAGGGGTAGGTGACAGGCAGGTCTGGCCTTGGGGTCAGAAGGAGGAAAATGGCCGGGCTGTCAAGAGGCTGTCCAGAGGACATGGGCCTTGACCTTCAAGGACTTGGTCAGAGGGCTGGGCAGGTGCATTCTGTGAGTTTGAACTGGCTTTCCCTCGGGGGGCTGGGACGCAGTGCTCTTCCACCGATGCCACACTGGTTCAGCTCCCTGTAGGGACCCATGAATGACAGAGGATGCAAAGAGGCGGCCTCTCAGAGACAGGAGAGCCCTGTGCCTTGGAAGATTCACTGAGAACTGAGGGATGACCACTTGCTTCCCTGGAATGTGGCCTCCTCACATTCTGCACCATACCTCCCACCCCGAATGGCAGAGCTAGAAGGGAAAGTGGGCCCAGAGCGGGACAGTGACTTACCCAAGAACACACAGCCCGTAGCTCTGCCCTTCACTCGGCTGCTGGCCATTCAAGATCAGTGAGGTGGTGTCTGGTTCTTAACCCAACTCTGATCCAGACCTTGCCCTGTTTCCCAATTATGTACGAGGGCGGTTGAGACCGGAAAGAAGTGTCATTAGTTGAACTAGGACTGGTCCACGTCCCTGCAGGCCCCACGCTGAGGCTGCGAGCACATTGTGGCAGGTGATGGGAGGTTGGCCGGTCTCTACTTGTAGCTTCATGAATTTCCCGGGAAACCCCAATAGGAGGCATCACCTTTTAAGTCCTCATGTAATTTCCCAAATAAGAAGCAAAGTCAAGTACTTTTCACAGAGAGGAAGCTTTTCGGGCCCCCTCCCCCACCGCTGCATTGAATGACTTGGAGGACAGAAGCCCCTCTTGCCCATTGAATTCAGGAGACCCTGGACCACGGGTGATGTTCAGGATTGGGGCTTGGAGGTGTGTGGCTGTTCAAAAACTCAGGGGTCCTTGTCTTCAGGCTCTGAGGACAAGTAAATAGGAGAGGGTGGGGGTCCCTGAGAGGCTGAAGCCCCGGGCTGTCTCTGGGGGACCCCGTGGCTGTGGTGCCATGGTCCCGGCCACTTAGGGGGAAGGTTACATGGAAGCGGGCGCCACAGCCCCCACAGTGACCTGGACGTGTTGCCAACAAACATTTCTGCCTTCCTTCTCAGATTTAAATGAGTGGTTAAAAAGCCATTTGTGATTAGCACATTGTCCATATGCAAATCAGTGCTGCAAAAGTAATTAAAAGCCTAATAAATCTTGTTTACACGCCTAACTTAATTACCAGTCAAGGCCCGCTAGAGCTGGGGATGACTCCAAAATCAAGGGGTGCCGCCCTTCCTCTTCCAGGGGAGGGGTTTGCGCCCCCCCCGCCCCCCCGCCAGGAGAGGTGCCCGGGTGCAGCAGGTGGGGGCACAGGCGCTGAGCCGGGCCGCTGGGCATGAGGGGCCGCCCTGCCCTCTTCTGGCAGGGGGACTTCGGGCAGCTCTGTGCCTCAGTGTCCTCATCTGTCGCGCTGGAAACAGCAGTGCAGGACCTCCAACATGCCCACCGCCAGTGGACTCTGACATGCTCACTTTGGTCAGCTAACAAAGAAGGGCTCCATCAGAGCTGAGGCCCCAGCTTCCTCCTTTCCTTCGTCCCATCATACCACCTTCACCACGTTCATGGTTAGCTGCTTTTGTGGAGCTGGACCCAAAGCTCAGGTTGTAATAGGTCCTTCTTCTTGCCCCCAGAAAATTTAAAAAAAAAGAGAGGGAGGGAGGGAGAGAGAGAGGAAGGAAGAAGGAAGGAAGGAAGGAAGGGATTGAAGGAGCCATAAATCCTGCTCCATCGGTTCCAGATTGCTAAGGTACAGGATCTTTTCCTTTCCTCCTTCCTACTGAAAAAATTTAAAACCCTCTACTATGCAGTTAGCTGCGCAGGTCCCTCTACGTTTCACCGCAGGGAGGGAAGGAAGCGGCCCGAGTAATTGTGATGATGGAGAGCCCCGTTTAACGGCTCCCCTAAATGAAAGAGGGTGGGAGCTTCAGCTCCTTACTGGCTTGGTGTTTCATTAGTGGTAACTCTTCAGCCTTGCATGGAGACAGGACCAATATAGCCACATCAAGGAAATTAATTCGGGTCTGACAATACCCTTAATAGGAATTTGTTAGTTCTCCCAAATAAAGTGGCTGTTAGAAGTGCAAGGGAAGAAATAACTCAGCCCTCCCCACCTCTTCCCTCCATGAATGTCTGTGTAGACACTGCCACAGCAGGTACCCGGGAGCCAGGAATCAGCACTCCCCTTTTTGCTGGGCTTTACTCATTTTCTCACATTTAGCAAACATCAGTCAGTGCCTATGGAGCTGCCAAACAGACCTGTAAATCATCTACTCTAACTGCAATGTGAAAAGCTCTTTTATGTGACAGAAGAGTTGAGGGAATAGAGGAAAACGTCCTTGGTTCTGCTTAAGAGAATCACAAAAGGGAGTATCCAGACTGGGCTTTGAAGTATAGGTAGGAGTTCGCTAGTGACAGGATGGCAAAGGAACACTAAGGAAGGCCTCAGAGGCTTGGGAAATCTGTTCAACAAGCAGGAATGATAAGAGCACCCCCTCTCATAGCATTTTTGCAAAACTTGTAAACACCGTCATCAAGTAAATAGGGGTACCTGCACGCAGTCAGGCTGCAGAAATGGAGAGAAAAGTGTAAGTACAGTTTAGCAGGGACTCTGTGCCAGGCACTGTGTTGAACTTTACCTGTATTCGTATGCTTCATCCTAGGAGAGTGTTAGTCCCATTTTACAGATGAGAAAGTTGAGCTGACTTAAGTGGTATGTCCGAGGTCATAGAAATTGTCAGTGGCAGAACCAAGGCTTGACCCCAAAGACTCTTAAGTTTAGAGCCCAGATAGTTAGCCACTGTGCCGCAGGGCCTCCCTGTGCCATCTGAATATTAGTCTCACAAATGTTTAGTCGGAGTCCCTGAATATTTGCTAGGATACTCTGTGCAGGCCAAAGCTAATGATTTGATGGATAGTGTTGTTGGTTTTTTTTTTCCCCTGGATCACTGTTTGGGTTTTCTCTGCAGACAGTCTTTGAGACTAAACTTTACATGCCCTCTGTCCCTTCATGCTGGGTGGCTTCCCCCAAAATCCTCGGGAAGCTGTGCCCCTTCTTGGAATTCTTGGGGACTCCTAGATGTGCCTCATAGTATGTGCCCCCTCGCGTTATCACCACCTTTTTTTTTTAAGATTTATTTATTTATTTGAGAAGGAGGGGAGGGGCAGAGGGATAGGGAGAATCCCCAAGCAGACTGCCGCTGAGCACAGAGCCTGATGCAGGGCTTGATCCCACGACCCTGAGATCATGACCTGAGTGTGAAATCAGAGTCGGCTGCTTAGCCGACAGAGCCCCCCAGGCGCCCCTCCCCATCTTTGTGCAGGGAGGTGTTGTCTTACCCAATCCTTAGCTCCCTGAGACAATGGATGTGGTCAGGCCCACCTGGCAGCCTTGCCCTTGACAAGCCCCGGGGCCTTGGGAGCCTCAGCTCCTACGGATGCGTCTGTTGAGCCCACTTTAAGGGATTAAATGAGTTCTTAGGTGGAAGTCCCTTCACAAAGTTCCTTGCTTCTAGAAGCCACTCAAATCATAACAACAGCAGCGGTCAACAGTTTTCGGTGCCTGAGGTCAGCTGCATGTGGTCATTTTGCCTTACACATGGGAGCTCACTCAATCCTCACGATAGCCTTCTGAGAGACGTGCTGTTATCATCCCATTTTACAGATAAGGACACTGAGGCATAGAGCAAGTAGCTGCTTCATTACCTTCCCTCTGTCCCTCTCCCCGGAGGGCAGGACTCTCACTTCCTGGGTGCCAGTGCCCATGGGATCACAAGCACACTGTAGGTGGTTAGCCGTCAGGTTTAATAAATGGGCATAGTTATTCATTCTCAGGCATCCTTCTGAGGAGAGTATGGAGAGTCGGTGTTTCTCTCTGGCACTTGGGTTAGCAAAGGCTTTCCGAGCCCTGTAGGTGTGTGGAGACATCATGCCAGGCACAGGTAGCCTAACTCAGGATTCCTGGAGCAGAAGGAGAAAGGTGGGGTGGGCCTCTCATTTGGGCCCCCACTCAGGCCCTACGAATGTGAGGAACAAGTGGAGTTCAAGCCAGTGAATGTCACAAGGGCTTCCTGGAGGAGGTTGCCTTTGGAAGAGAAGCCTGGGAAGGATGAGCGGCAGGGTTGAAGCATCCCAGACTAAGATTAGGCACAGAGGCGGGAAAGCAGGTGCCTCCCTGTGAGGAGATGCTTGGCAGGCAGAACACTGCCGAGATTCCAGGTGGCTACTGGGACTGGGGCCTTTCTGGGTGGACTAGGGTTCTTGGGGCGGTTTTGGCTAGACAGGCCTGCAACTGGGGGCAGCTGTGGCACGAGACCGGGCTATGGAGTGGTGCATCGTGGGGTGTACCCACTGGGGGTGCACGGAGCTGGGCAGGATTACTAAGACTGGGATTCTCACATTCCAGGGGCCCTGGCCTCCCTCTGAACTGCAACCAGCTATGGAGAAAAGGAGAGAAGTGGTTCCTAGTGGGCAGTCCCCAAATGCCAGGGACCCCTGACCTGGGCTGACCTCATCTGCAGGTCAGATAGTGTTTGCCGGAGGAAGGAAGGGCCTCAGGACACCCCCTTCCCCCACAGGCCCCCTAGGCCTCCCCTTCATCACCCTAGGCCCCCTCCCACCTTGGTAGGGCCCAGGAGCCGGGCTTGCCCTTGCTCCTTGGGCCACAGGGAGCTGGAGCCGGGCAGCCCCCCCGGTGGTGGTGTCTGAGTCCCGGCAGAGGCGGCGGCAGGGCTGACTGCCAGGGGCCTGTGGGGGCGAGAGCCTTCGCTGCGACAGCAGGAGCCGTCTCCCCAGGAGATGAGTCACAGCCGTGTTGGTGCGGCTGCCACTTCTGCTTCTGCAGCAGGTGTGAGTGGGGGCGAACGAGTCCCTGAGACCGCCCCTCCACGCGCGTGCCTGTCTCTGCCCCCGCGTGTGCCCGGCCTCCTGGCAGCAGGGTGCGCGTGCAGACACACATCCATGTCCCTGGCCGCACGCATGCACTCCTGGAATGGGCCCAGGCCTCTGGGGTGCACCTTCCAGCCAGACGGTGGGCATGCCCAGTTTGGGAACCACGGTTAAGTTTGCCTCTCACCAAGTTTCGGGTGGAGGGGACGAAACAGGAAGGAGCTGGTTTCCGCCCACAAGGCCCACCCACAGAGCCGTAGGGCAGTCAGGAGCGTGTTTGTGGGCCTGTGCAGTATCCCGGTGAGCCGAGGCCTCCCCAGCCGGGGTGGTGAGGCAGCAGCTACCTGCTCCCCCCGCCCCGCCCCAGGCTCGGGTGCGGCCTGCCAGGCTCTAGGGGCTCCCAGAGGGCTTTACTTCTGAGCCTGCCAGGCACATTCTAAAAGGACACAAACTGGACATCATCCTGGAGGGTTAATGGGAGTTGTGGGGCAGAGAAGACACACACTTGTGCTCTGTAAAATTGCTGGGGGTCCTGTGTTCCATCCTGCACACCTAGGATGAGGGCCTCACAGGACAGCTGGTATCTAGGGGTCTCCTCTCTGTTGGATTAAACTATAGCCTACAGGGCCTGCCTTCGGGATGCTGGTGTGCCAGGCCCGGGACCAGGTGGCACCCCAGTCCTCCGTGATTTCTCCCAGGAAGGCCTCCAGCCCAGCCGTGCTCAGGAGCAAGCTCATTGCTTCCTTCCCTGTGCTTCTCCAGCCCTTCTGAGCTCTCTGGGCTCCCGAGTCCCCAAGCAGCCTTCCCAGATGCAAGTGTGAGCTGTCTGTCAGCTTGGCAGGTGCATCTGGGCCTCACCCCCTTTTCACTGACCCACGCCATGTCTGGCCCGCAGGAGTAGAGGGTAAGCAGGAGGTCTGGGTTTCCGAGGGCCTCTCCTCTCCCCTAGAAATCATGAGTAATGCCCAAGTCTGTGTCCCTTTCTAGTCGAGTAAGCCTTTTTGTCTCCATGCTCCTCTTTGAGCCTCATCAGGCTTACGCTACCAAGGCCTATGTTGTTCAAACCTCCTTGACCTGAGACCCACAGTAAATATGCATAGTACACCATGACCCAGGGTGCACACACACTCACACATAAAATCAAGACACTGAGGAATATTATTTATTCTTACCATGTGCTTATGCTTAACTACTTTGTTTTATTCCGTCTTTTTCCCCTCGTGCTGGTTTGATGTCATGACCCAGTTGTGTTTCATGACCCACAGCTTAAAAACTCCGAGAGCAGAGTGGGGGAATGCCCTTCTTAGGCCCATCTGACAGATGAGGGGACTGCGTGCAGACAGGCGAGGGAACTTGGACCCTCCCTGAGCCAGGAAGGGACAGGACTCGTACCCAGGGTACCAAAAAAAAAGCCAGGGCAGGAGGAAAAGGGAGTGGAGGGGTGGGGCTGCTCTTACCGCAGGAGGTCAGGGCAGGCCCCTCCAGAGAGGTGACTTCTGAGCAGAGATAGGAAGGAAGCCAGGGGCTGGCCAGGCAGAGAGGGTGTCCAGGCAGGGGGCGAGCAAGCCTGGGCAGACAGTGACATCACCCCTGCAGGGCCCTGCCTGCCTTGACTACTTTGGCTGCCGAGGGCTCTGCCCGGTGAGAAGCAGGCACGAGACTCAGCCCCCCGCCTCCCCCCTGCCTGCCTGTCACGCAGGACGGTGCCTCCCTCCTATGAGTCCTGACCTCCCGGCTGGCTACCAGCACCTCTAGGGCCAGGCCTGGCTTGCCTGCTAGGCCGGAGTATAAGTTCTCCAGGAGTGAGCAAGCCCTTTTGTCTTCTGCTCACTTCCTGTGATCACAGCACAAGCCAAACAGAGGCATGATGTGCTTTCCTACCACACCAGCCTCCCCCAGACTCCCTTCCCCGATCCTGGTACCCAGCAGTGCTGCCTTGCAGGCCTCCCCACTGTCGAGAAGCCATGCAGGGCTGATACAACAGATGTGGGTGCTCTGCATTTCTGCTCCCTTGGGGGCCACATCTGGGATTGTGTCTCCATGAGAGGTGCCAGGGAGTGAATGCAGAGGCAGTCCCAGCTCAGCACCCCTAGGGGCTGGGACCCCAGCACTTTCTTCATGCTATAATCTGGACAGCCCCTTCCCTCTCCCAGGAGTCACTCTTCACCTGTACCATAGCAACTAATAGAAAGCCATTATTGAGCACTTACTGTGTGCAGGGCAGGGTGTTGGGCCTAAGGTTAAGTCCTTGCTTCTGGTGTTTGGGGGCTTCTCAGGAGATGTCACCAAACAAGGTGGGTGCTTCTGGGCCTAGCAAGGAGACAGGGGAGACGGGGCGACGGGGCAATGGCTGCGGGTGCTCCAGCAGAGGTGGGAGCCAAGCGGGGAGGCAGGGTAGGGTGGGATTAGCCAGCAGGGTAAATCATTCTGAAGTGTGTGAGTTCGGACTTTGCCTTGTAAACACTGGGAGCCATTGGAGGTCTTTGATTGTGGAGAGTGTCTTGGGTGTTTGAGGGAGCTTAGCTTGGCAGGGACGTGCACAGGAGACTGGGGTGGGAGCAGGGGAAGAAGCATGGCGGGCAGGCCCGTACCTGTGATCCAGAGGCAGGAAAGAAGAGTGACGTAAGGAATCTCTTGCCAGAGGCCACATCAGCTAGGCTGGGTGGCCAACCTGCTACAAAGGGTCGGGAGGAAGGGGGAAGAGGCGAGCTTCAGACGGGGGCCCTTCCGATGTTTTCTGAGAAGGGACCGGGAAGTTCCAAGGGGAAGCTGGTACGGGGAAACCAAAGCTCTTTCTGGAGAGCCACTTCAAGTCAGAGCGTGGTGGAAGGAGGAGCTCAGGTGGGGCCTGTGGGGCTCTCTTCTTCCTCTGTAGCGTGGCCTGTGGACTTTGGGATCAGGTGAGGCAGACAGCCATGGGGGTGGTACCTCTGCAGCGATGGGGGGAGACGTGGTCACTTCCAGGGTCTGCCACCACGTGAGGTGTGCCTGTTCTGCATTGGACCCCATGCCAGGCCTGGGAGGTCTAGAGCTGGTGGAGATGGGGGTCACCTGGGTTTGACTGGGAGCCATGGAGGATGATGGGGTGATGGGGCCCTCCTGTGTATGGAGTCCCTGAGGATCCCCCCTCTGTCTCCCTCTGCAGTGATGGGTCATTCCCCTATGACTCTGTCCCTTGGCAGCAGAACACCAACCAGCCTCCCGGCTCCCTCTCCGTGGTCACCACGGTTTGGGGAGTGACCAACACATCCCAGAGCCAGGTAAGAGCCTGTCCTGCCCCCCTGCCTCAGCCCCTCCCCCCCACCCCCGGCAGGACCATCCCTTGAGCCCTGGGGCCTTTGGGTCATCCTCCCATGCTAGTCGTCCTCACACTGCCCAGCTGGAAAGACCAGCTCTCGGGGCACACTCAGCTGTGGACATGCCACTACCCTCCACGCTTGCTCAGGAGGGCGGCAGCTGGCCCCTAGGCAACTGTCTCCATCCAAGGGCCTTTCTGGGGGAATGACTTTCATCTGACCGAGAGCCGAGGGTTCTTCCCTAGCCCACGTTTACTTGGGTTTGGATACTTAGGAGAACTTCCTGGGTGTTATTGGCCTCAGGGCTCCAGCGTCTGGGGTCTTTGACCCTGGGTAACCTGGGTTAGATTTCAGCAAAATGGTAAGCTTTCAGCTTTTGACAAACTCCTCCCCCACCCCCCTGGCCAGCCCTGCCTTCCACTCTCACCCCTTCCTCTTTCTTCCGCGCCTTCCTGTCCAGCCTGCTCGGCCTCTGCCACGGCTCGAGGCTGGTGGCCGCCCCCGAGGGCACCCCTGGGCTTCCCTGCAGTCTCAGGCCACAGGGGCCCCTCGGCCAGGATCCTGCTGCCCTCCAGAGCTGGCAAGTTGGGTTTCTTTTCGCCCTGACAAAGCAGCAGCCCAGGGCCACCGTGTGTCCTGGCCTCTGGGCATCCAGGCCCCTTGGCAGAGGAGGGCCGAGAAGTCCAGTGCCTTCTACCTGCCACCGAGGGCAGGACCAGCCCCTCCTGGTTCCATCACAGGCCGGGCTTCTTATCCCCTGTGCTGCCGGCTTCCGGGGCTGTTTACCCCCTTCAAAGCATTTATATGGTCTGGGAACAATTCATGACTCCACTTTCTCCCCCTTTCCCTCTGCTCTCCCCGTTGTACCATTTCAGCAGCCCATGTCTCCTCTTTCCCTCCCATGGCCCCTGGGACACTGCTTGGGTGACAACCACTCTCTGCCCACAGGTCCTCGGGAACCCTATGGCCAATGCCAACAACCCCATGAATCCAGGCGGCAACCCCATGGCGTCGGGCATGACCACCAGCAACCCCGGCCTCAACTCCCCCCAGTTTGCCGGACAGCAGCAGCAGTTCTCGGCCAAGGCCGGGCCCGCTCAGCCCTACATCCAGCAGAGCATGTATGGCCGGCCCAACTACCCCGGCAGCGGGGGCTTCGGGGCCAGGTGAGCAGCCCTCGGGAGCAGCTTTGGCGCTGCCCTTCCCCTCCGTCCCGGAGCAGGAGTAGGGTTGAAACACTAGCCCCGTGCTTCTGGCACTGCTCGTGTTCTGCTCTCCCCTCCGTTAAAGGGACACAGCGAGTGGGTGAGACACTAACACAGCTAGCTGGTGTGATAGCCGCCAGGCCCCTGGTGTTGGAAGGCCCGTGCTCTTGTCCCCCGGAGGGGCCCTTCTGTGCCGGTGTCTGTACATATGGGGGGGGGGGCGCGCAGACGCTATGAGGGCAGGGCCGGTGGGGTCAAGAGCTACTCCAGACAGGTGCAGGAAGGCCACCCTGCCCCATGGGCTGTGCAGGCCATACCGCCAAGTTCGAGAGGAGCTGGGGGGCAGGGGGCCGGGGAGGAACAAGGAGCCCCACAAAGATGCTGCAGGGATGTGGGGGCTGGGCAGAGAGGCACCCCGTTCCTCCTCTGCCGCCCTGCCCTGTCCAAGGCCACCTCTTTGGCTTCAGCCCACCATCCACCGCCAGGGCCTGTGGGCAAGGTGCTCGGGGTTTTGTGAGGCACCATGTCCTCCTCCAGGAGGTGGGTTGCCCACAGCAACGAGGTACAGTGATCCCGTGCCCGGGAGAGTCCGTGTCGGCCAGCACCCCACCAAGGGCTTCGGGAACACAGCAGCTTGCCTATCGCCAAGGGGCACGAAGAGCTGCCAACCCGCAGGAGGCCCCTCTCCCCTTCGGGTTCGGGGTCTAGATGCCTCCCCTGTCTGTGAGCTGGGGGCAGGAGGGCATGGAAGGACCCGTCTTCTCCCTCCCAGCCCAGGACTTACAATGGGTTCATCTTTAGATTCAGGCACTGTCTAAGTCTCCCCTTCTTCTCCCTTGCAGTTACCCCGGGGGTCCTAATGCCCCCGCAGGCATGGGCATCCCTCCACACACCAGGCCACCCGCTGACTTCACTCAGCCAGCGGCAGCTGCCGCAGCGGCTGCAGTGGCAGCGGCAGCGGCCACGGCCACGGCCACAGCCACGGCCACTGTGGCAGCCTTGCAGGAGACACAGAACAAGGATATAAACCAGTACGGACCGGTAAGGGCCCCACTAGTCCCGGTCCAGCCTTGCCCCCCCCCGCAGAGTTGGGGTGTTGGTGCCATGTGTGCTGGAAGAGCTGATGGTGTCAGGGTGCGTCTGGGTTTCCTTGGAGGCCTGTGGACGGGTGTGTGTTAGGACGTGGGTGTGTCGGCATGGTTGGGTGTGGTGCGGGGAGGCCATTTGGGTGCTTGCATTTGTTCTGCGTGGGTTTGTGGCTCATGCGTGTCTGCAAATGGGGAAGGAGGTTCTTTATCACCCTCTGGGCGCCTGCTCACCAAAGCGCGGGCTCAGTGCCTAAAACGCCTTGTCACCAGTCTGTCGCCATGGTGGCTTCTGAAGACCATACACTCCTAGTCATCCCATCTGTGGATTGAGCCCAGGTCCCATTTCTGCTCCCCTGACCTTCAGAAGGACTGGTGGGGTGTGAGGAGAGAGAATTCCCCGCAAGAATGCAGGACAGGGGACAGGAGGTGGGGATTGTAGGAAGGGGACAGCAGGGCAGGTGGGCAGAGGTGGGAGCTGGGACTGCCTCAGATTTTGTGGATGGAGGGTGTGTCTCCACTGGCCGAGGGTGGGGCCTGGGCTTCCAGGAAAGGGGCTCCTGCCTCCATCCTCATCCCCCTCCATCCTCCCGTGCCCCTCCCCGCCTCTGCACCTTCTTCCCCGTTCCCTGCCTGCCTCCCTGGAAATGCTGCCTGCTCTCTGGAGTGACTGCACCCCACCCCGTTAACACCCCTTGGGCTGTGTCTTTCCTGTGCGGCCTGTAGAGGGCAGTGGTGAGCCCAAGAGGCCAGACATCCCTTGGGACCTGGTCACCAGCTGCAACCACACAGGAAAGTGCCCCCCGACCCAGAGCCTCCCACCTCCCCCACCCTTCCCTCCCTGCACTTTCAATGCATGTGGCATTTTATTCTTTTTTTTTTTCTTCTTCTCCCGTTGAAGGTCTGTTCCTCTTTCCAGATGGGTCCCACCCAGGCGTATAACAGCCAATTCATGAACCAGCCCGGGCCACGGGGGCCTGCCTCCATGGGGGGCAGCATGAACCCCGCAAGCATGGCGGCTGGCATGACACCCTCGGGGATGAGCGGCCCTCCCATGGGCATGAACCAGCCCCGGCCGCCCGGCATCAGCCCCTTTGGCACGCACGGGCAGCGGATGCCCCAGCAGACCTACCCGGGCCCCCGGCCCCAGTCCCTTCCCATTCAGAGCATAAAGAGGCCATACCCGGGAGAGGTGAGTGTGACAGGAGGCAGGTGGTGGCCAGGGTGGGAGGCGGGGAGCACCCAGGGCTTGAAAACAGAGGGGCTGTGGGCAGGACTTTGGAAAGGGCAGGAACTGACCAGCGCCAAACCTGGACCAAAAGTCTGAGCCTTAGGATGGAGGAGTCGGGCTCCTGGCTGGAGACCAGCCCTGCCATTTCCCAGCTGGAAGTCCTTGATCAAGTCCTGTCCCCTGCTGGAGTCGTGGTTTTTCATTTGTAAAAGATGGTGCCGATCCAGCCCATCTCCTAGGGCTGCTTGGGAGATGTGAATGAGGGCCGGAGGGGAAGCACTTGGCCCCGGGGCCGGCGCAGGCAGCAGAAGCTGTGGTTAGCGTGGTGTTTGGTCTCGGCACAGACACGGGCCCGGTGACTTTGGTAAGGGGCGAAACCTCCTTGGGTCCACGTCCTCACCTGCACACGAGGGCTTCTCACTTGCAAGAATGAGAGGGGGGACAAAACCCTGTAGATACCTAAAGGCTGTGCACGTCAGAGAAGTGACTGGAAGGCAGACAGCGTGCTTCTTAGGGCTCTTCTCTGCCAACTGTCAGCTGCTCTTTTGGGAGGAACACTGTCTCATTGGCTGCCCAGCCAGCTCAGCCAAGGGAAAGGTGAAGATTTAAGGAAGTAAAACCCACACCTGTCCTCTGGGAACCCAGACTTTAGCAGGAAAGGGGATCACCTTCCTGGAAACCTGTCTAAGCAGGAGCCCATAGGCCGTGATGCACAGGGGGTATCTGGAATTCAGCATGAGGTCAGAGAAAGAGGACTTCCTGGAGGGGGTGTCATAGGGCCTTCCGTGAGCAGTGGGAAGAATTGGCAGCAAGTGGCCTGTCTGGGTAAGGCTTTAGTTCACCTGCAAAAGACACAGGGACCCTAGAATCCTGGCCCAGTGTGCACTCCTCAGGAAGCCTGCCTTGATTCCTTACCTAGGCAAAGCTCCTTGCTGAGTAGTCTCCCCCACAGCTATCTGCTCGCCGCCCATTCTCAGACTGGCTCCCCCGACCCCCACCCCACTTGCCTCCAAACTGTGGCCTTCAGCTTGACCTTACAGTGGATTTGGAGTCCAGAGGTTAAGTTCCTCAAAGGTCTGCGTGATTCCCTCAGCATTCACCCTAGCTCGGGCTTGGCCATTGTTGGCGGTGTCCTGAATCCAGAAGGGGAGAGGTCAGAGACCTCCTCAAACACCCGGGAGCCTGGCTCAAGCCCAAACACTCCTGGATGGCATTGGTTCAGGGAGGCACCAGCCACAGAAGGACAGTGGCTCCCAAGGTCCTGGCTGTCCTTGGGGGGAAGGGGGGGGTTGGTGCTCAAGCTCCTGGCCTCACTCCCACACACAGCCCCCACAGGAGTTCTGGAACCTCTTTCAGCCCGTCCATGCTCAAACTCCCCACGTCCCTGCTGGCTGGGCTAGAGATGCGTCTGCAGACCCAGCCTTGGGGTTGCCAGCACCTAAGAAGGTGATCCCAGGAAAGGAAAGGCAGAGAAATTCCCAGTTATTGCTCCGATGTCCACCTGCACCTGTGGCGTGCTCTGGCGAAGGCACACACCAGAGGCCTTGAAGTATTTCTACTCAGTCATCCTCTTCATAGAACGCCGATGCTCCCCAGCTACAAAATGCCTGGCACTGGGCTGGGACACTGGGTGATCACAGCCCGCGTGGCCTGACCCTGCCTGGGAAGGCGGGCCTCACCTTGCAATGGCACGGTTCTAGAATCTCTGAACCATCGAAACGTTGGGGCAGGTGTCAGGTTGGCTGGTCCTGCACAGGACTCCTCTTGGGTGACCTGATGGGCCCCCAGCTGCACTCCTCCAGTGATGTGACAGGAACCACTGCCACACAGAGCAGCCACTATACTGCCACAGTATGAGTGGCAGAGTTCCTCAGCACTGACACGGACACCTCCCATCCTCCGCCACTTACCTCTGGATCCTTCTTTCATTTGCTAAGGGAATATTTATGGAGGGTCTGCTCTTTGCCAGTCGCTGGAACACAGCCGGGACCTCGGAGCCTAGAGGCAAGAGAGACGGTTTAAATAGATAAGGAGCTTCAACAGACCTCACAGGATGTCATGGCCTGGAGTGTCTGGGTGGCTGGTGGCCCTGAGGGTCACCTAATCTTACAGAGGAGGCGGGGCGGCTGCAGGGTGGACCTCAGCATCACTTTGTAGATCTCCAAGGACAAGGATCCTGCCCCTCCCTTGAGCTGTCTTCTCTCTCAGTTGCCTGTCTGGAGAGGGTTGTCTGGAACCTCCACAAGCCTGCTTCTGCCGACCTCTGCACGCATGGCCCAGAACTGAACATCAGTGTGTTCTGTTCAGTGTGGGGTGTGGGGCCAGAGCCTCCCATATTCAGCCTCTGAATGCAGGGGTTGAGGGGGCCACCTTTCCGGAAGCACATCCCGTTGTCTGCATCCCCCTGCCACACACCAAGTGCTAGGAGACACATGAAGAGGGCTTTAGAATCGAGCCCCCTCCTAATGGCATGAATGAGAGGCTCTGAAAGTCCGGGGCGCAGGGTACTCGGAGAAGACCGCTTCACGGGGAGGTGGCCCCCAAGCCAGACAGACAGAACGTCATGTCCCTGGATGTCAGGGCAGCCTCTGGTGCCGCCCCCTCTCTCTGGGTGGAGAAGGCAGTTTATCGGTGGAAAACAGCAGGGACAAAGGTGAGGGGCCAGGGCACGCCTGGCCTTCTGGTGAGTGGCTTGGCTCCGTGACACTGACAGCCTTTCTCCTCTCCTCTCTCTGCTGCCACAGCCCAACTATGGAAACCAGCAATACGGACCAAACAGCCAGTTCCCCACCCAGCCAGGCCAGTACCCTACCCCCAACCCCCCGCGGCCGCTCACCTCTCCCAACTACCCTGGGCAGAGGATGCCCAGCCAGCCGAGCACCGGGCAGTACCCACCCCCCACGGTCAACATGGGGCAGTATTACAAGGTGAGTCCTACCACCCCATCGGCCCCTTCCTTCCTCACGACCTCATATCCCCCCCCCACCTGTGTCATCTTGGTCCTGTGTGTCCCCTGAAGTCACCAGGGGGCAGGCGGAGATCTCCAGATGTGTCCTCGCGTGCTCAGAGCCATGGCCAAAATGTCAGGCTGGCAGCTCTTGGTTCCCCATGAATCATGGGGCTCAGACAAGGGTTTTCCCCTTCCTTTTTACTGTTTACGGCACACATCAGATGATCATCAAGGAAACACTTTTTTTTTTAAAGAAAAGCATCCACCTGGATATATTAATATTACCTTCTAAGCCTTTGTTTCTCTCTTGCACGTGGGTATCAATATGTTATATAGTTGCTATTAAGGTTGTAACGTTGAATCTGTTTCTTCCAACTTGAGTGAAATCAGGAGCATGTTACTGCTACAGAGTCTCTGTGGTTCTCGCTTTTGAAGGGTGCCTCACCTTCTACGGATATAAACCACGTGGATATAAACCACATCCACATCGTATTTTATTGTTCCCTTCATATGGGATGTTTGCAATGCTCTTGGTTTTTCACTTTCCAAGTAACACCGTGATGAATATTTTCGGGCACATAGCTTTTCCCTTCTTTGGGATTATAAAGTTCATTCTCAGTAGTGCAGACTACTCTGGACACACTTTACATTTATTTGCCCAGGAAGCATGCTAACTTCCATTACCACCCACCACTGCTCCAACTTTAGCATTCTAGGTGTTTCTGTTTTTGCAAACTCTTGCTATGTAACTAGCTGTGGACGGAGAGACGAAATCCCATCCCAGGGTGGGGGAAGGGGTGACCTGCTCTACCCCTGTCCCGCCCCACACCCCAGCACTGGATGGGCCTCGTCAGCATCCCCAAATGACACTTCTGGCCAGTTTTCATATCAGGAGAGAAAGCTGGCTTCTGGGAGCTTTTCTGCCTTCCACTTTGAACGCGTTGTGTATCTTGCTTTAACAGCCAGAGCAGTTTAATGGACAAAATAGCACCTTCTCGGGAAGCAGCTACAATAACTACAGCCAAGGAAACATCACCAGGGTATGTTCCGGTTTTCATTGGGCGTACTTGTGTGTCTCGGGGGCCCGGCCACCCGCACCCCAGGCCCACGGGTGGGAGCGCCCTCCCGGGTCCTCAGCTCTGGAGCACACTGATGCCCAGACAGAATGCACAGGTCCAGGCAGGTGGTCCGGGGATGAGTAAAGATTAAGAGCAGAAGGGAGAGCGGCCTTCTGGGGAGCCAGTTGCCCAACGTGCTGCAGGCCCAACTCCCATCTGAGGACCCTGCTGGGCTGGGGGTGGAGGGTGTAGCCTAGAGCAATGATGTAGGCAGCCAGAGACCTCAGTGCTGGCCGGCATAGAGGGATTTCCACAGGGGGCCTGGCTCTCCTCCCTTGGGGGAGCAGGGACCATAGCCCCAGGACTGCGGGGCGGGTGGGGTGTACGTCCGTAGCCAGAGTCCCTCCTAGCCCTGTGAGCCCATAACCTATGTATGGTTTCTCTTTTCCTCCAGCCTCCTAGGCCAGTTCCTGTGGCAAATTACCCCCACTCACCTGTTCCAGGGAACCCCACGCCCCCCATGACCCCCGGGAGCAGTATCCCCCCCTACCTGTCCCCCAGCCAAGACGTTAAACCACCCTTCCCACCTGACATCAAGCCAAATATGAGCGCTCTGCCGCCACCCCCAGGTGAGTGCCCCACCTCCTCCCTCTGTCTGGCCAGCCCCACCTCCTCCCTCTGTCTGGCCAGCCCCACCTCCTCCCTCTGTCTGGCCAGCCCCACCTCCTCTCTCTGTCTGGCCAGCTCCACCTCCAGCCGTAGGGCCCTGCGGTGGGCCAGGAGCCAGGGGGCTTGGAAGTTGGAGTGCCTGCGGGGGCTGGGCATGTGGAAAGGGCGGGAGGGCTTGGAAGCAGAGAAGCCCCACCCACAAGGGAAATTTGGGGTGGAGCTGGGCTGCCAACAGCCCTGAGCTGCTGGAGGCTGGGAGCAAAAGCGGCTCCCAGTCGTGGAGAGGGGCTGGGCAGAGGAGCCTGAAGCTTCCAGAATAAGGAATAGGTGCGGTCAGAGGGGAGTAGAGCCAGAATGAGTGGGACATGGGACGCAAGGGCGGTGGGGTGTGGTGGACTGACAGAAGCAGCGGGCTCCCTGGTGTGCACACAGGCAAATAGCCCAGCTTCTGTGGCCCTGTTCCCACACACACACCCCTGCGAGTCCCCTGAGTGTGCGGCTAAGAGTGTGAGTCGTGTGGGGGGGCGAGCTCCACCCACAGCCCTGGGGCCCATGCTCCTGTGTGCCCCTGGTGGCCACGGGCGTGCGGCTGACCCAGCTCATCCTCCCCACCCAGCCAACCACAACGATGAGCTGCGGCTCACCTTCCCGGTGCGGGATGGCGTGGTGCTGGAACCCTTCCGCCTCGAGCACAACCTGGCCGTCAGCAACCACGTCTTTCACCTGCGGCCCACGGTCCACCAGACACTGATGTGGAGGTGAGCGTCATGCTGGGGGCACAGGCCCAAGCTGGGTTGGGGGAAGCGTCCGGTGGTGACGTCCCTGGCCCAGGCATTGCCCTGAGCAGGTAATTGCAGCATCTGCCAGCTGCCTTCACCTGTTTGGCATCATTGACTGGGCTCCGCTCTGGGCAGGGTTTGGGGGATGTCATGGGGAACCTGCAGGCAGGCCTTGGCAGGTATAGTGGCCCAAGGGCAGGGAGCAGCTTTCACTCAGCGTAGTCCTGAGAGAGTGGTCAGGGATGACCTCCCAGAGGAAAAGGGGGCTAGCTCAGAGCCAAAGGCGGGTAAAGCAGTCTTCCAGGAGGGAGGCTGGGCTGACAGGAGGAACTTGAACATGGCTTGTTGTGGCTAGAGCCGGAGAGTAGAGGGATGAGGCTGGGTTGGGCAGGACCAACAAGCCCTACAGGTTGCCAGGGGTTGGCCACTGAGCCAGGCCGCTGCTCAGACATCCAGACACACCAGAGAACAAGGGCAGGAGGTCCCTGGCTGGGCCAGGCCCTGTGTTCTCTGCCTTCTACACCTGACCTCCCTTGATCTTGTCGGTGGGCAATGCTTTTCCCATTGACAACGAGGCCAGAGAAGTCGATTAGCTTGGGGGAAGATCTCACAGCAAGCAGCAGAGCTGGGACTCGGGCCCAATTCTCTTAGATGCCAGAATCCATTGGTGTCCCCATCCTCGGTCCTTCCTCCTCAGGCAGGACTCACGCTGCCCTGCCACCCCTCTACCCAGAGTCTCTCAGCTGCCCAGTAGGTACCCGAAAGACACAAGATGGGTCTGCACTGGGCACGTATACACAGCTAACTCAGTGCCTTGACCACGCCAAATGAGCTTCGGTGGGGGCTGTAGACAGAGCTGAGTGGGTGGAAGGGTGCAGGAGCTCAGGTGCTCAGGCAGGAGGATGGAAGGATGGAGGGACCCCTGTGCAGAGGCCCTGCTCACCCATCCCTCCTTACCCAAGTGCCCTCGCCTGGGAGGTGTCCCGTGGCCCTGGCCTGCTTGGTTTCCACACTGCCGGGTTCATGAGGATCCCCTTCCGTGCTGTATCTCTGGCGCCCACCTGGGCGGGGAACTGAATCAGACACGGCCCAGGCCCGTCCCAACTGGAGTCTGGGTGGGACATCATCAGCCTCCCAGCTGGTCTGGCCACATTAGTGTCTGTCCTTTTTTGTCCCTCTCTCTCTATCCTGGGAGAGCAGGTGTCACCCTGATAGGGAGGGGTCTGGAGGAGACCAGCCGAGCCGTGGGGTGTGGCTGGAGTGAACAGTGTGGGGGAACGTGGGTTGTCGGGACGGGTTTTGCCTGGGGATATGGGCAGTGGTCCTATCCAGGTTGAGAGAGGACAGTGCGGGGAAGCGGGGGCAGCAGTGGCAGCTGAGGACGTGGGGCCCTGAGGGGCTCAAGCTGTGGTGAGGTCGAGGCGTGCTGCCTGGCCAGGTGTCACCGAGCCACGGGCAGCGCCATCTGAGCCATGCCCCCCGCCCCCCGCCAAGGTCGGACCTAGAGCTGCAGTTCAAGTGCTACCACCACGAGGACCGGCAGATGAACACCAACTGGCCAGCCTCGGTGCAGGTCAGCGTCAACGCCACGCCCCTGACCATCGAGCGCGGCGACAACAAGACCTCCCACAAGCCCCTGCACCTCAAGCACGTATGCCAGCCGGGCCGCAACACCATCCAGATCACCGTCACGGCCTGCTGCTGCGTGAGTGTGCGGGCGGGGCTGAGCGCGTGGCGTGGTCCGCAGCCTTGTCCTTGCGGCTCTGCCCCCATCCCCGTAGCCGCTGCAGTGATCCTTGCCTCCACACACGTGCGGCAGGCCCCCCGGGGCTGTGGGATAACCTTCAGAGCCACCGAGCTCTGGCCGTAGACGTGGCCTTTCCCGCTCTCACGCCACAGCCCCCATCCGGTCCCCACACCCCCCTCAACTTCCTCCTGCAGGCCCCTCCGCCTGGACACCTTCTCCCCATGTCCCCCATCTTCTGCTGGTGAAGGTCTGTGTGCCTCGAAGCCCGGCACTGTTCCGGCTTCAGTCACAAGAAATTTTTATACTCTCATCATCTTTTGACCCAGACCCAACTCCATCAAGTCTGGAGTTAACTTTCTCCCTTCTTCCCCCAACCCTGCTGTCCTAGAATCGAGTGTGTATGTGTCCCTCCGATGTGTGACCTGCTCTGGGACCACATCTGAGCCACTCTCCTACCCCCCAGAGATCAGGGCTTGGTACACAGGGCTTGCTCAGTGATCCGTGGGGGAGGAGATTGCCTGCCCCACTCTGCTGGCCTCTGTGGGGGACACAGGAGAAGGAAAGTCACTGATCCTGCCCTTACAAGCATAGGGACACCAAGGCTACCTAGAGACGGGAGTCACAGGCTGGAGAGTACTGTCAGAATGAAGACCCTGTAGGGGCTTGTGAGGGTATACAATCCTGGAAAGCTTCCTAGAGGAGTGAGAACAGGAATGACACCCTCTGGCAGGAAGGGTGGAGGACACATGATGGGGAGCAGTGCTGGGCGGGGTCAGGAAGTGAGGCCGGCTCCCGTCCTGATGCCAGGTGTCCCATAACCTGATGCCAGGGGTGTTTCGGTGTCAGCCCAGGACCCAAGCAACTGTCCCAAGTGGTGATCTCTCCCTGAGTCTCCAGGCTCACGGGTCCCAGGACACATCCTGGAACAGAGTAGCATCACTATGAATCAAGGGCCCTTTCCTGGGCTTGGCCTTCAGGGGTCTTCGGGCACACGTGGTCGGGGGCGGGCGTAGGGGGGCCGTAGGGCGGGGGCTGAGCACACACTCTTTCCTGGCAGTCCCACCTCTTCGTGCTACAGCTGGTCCACCGGCCCTCCGTGCGCTCCGTGCTGCAAGGCCTCCTCAAGAAGCGCCTCCTGCCCGCCGAGCACTGTATCACAAAAAGTGAGTATGGGGGCTCAGGGAGCGAGAACCAACCCCAGCCCGTGTTCATCATCCATCCATGTTCCTCATCCGCCCAGGACCAACCTTTGGCTCTGTGCACAAACCCCGGGGCCCGAGTGTCCCTTGGCACACCAATCCCCACCCCCAATTCATGTCCCTCTTTCTGGAGCTGTGAGGATGATCAGATGAGCATGGCCTCTGAGACCTGCCTAGCCTGGACGAGCTGGCTCACAGCACAGGGGATGAGGCAAATTAAAAGGAAACACCCTGCTATAGACAGGCCTGGCAGGCTTCCTGGAAGAGGTGATCAGCTAGCCGATCACATCTTGGAACTGGACAAAGGGGATCTTCAGCAGAAGGGAGGCCCAGGGGTGGTTTCCCAACCGGCCTCCCCACCTCGACAGTTTGTGGCTAAACTAGGGAGAGGGACTTGGCTCAGAGTCCAGTCCTTTGGAGGAGACACCCAGGTTATTAGTGAGGGGCACCACGCAGAGAGGTGCCCCACGGCTCCTCCCTCTGTGCTTCTTCACGTGACCTCCCAAGCCCCCGGTTCCCGCCAGGCACTGGTCCATTCTCACCTCCACCCTTGCAGAAGTGAGTGCAAGAGCGCCGGGCCCAGAAAATCAGTGGGCAGTGGCATTCTGGGTTTCCGCACACGTGGTAGGCCGTCCCCCTTCCTAGGGAAGGCGGGGCCTGTTCCGCAGAGACTGGGGAGCTGACATGGTGACCTCTAGGGACACATGCCTCCCACACATGGCATGTGGGGGCTGCCGTCCCAGAGTGCTGGGTGACCCAGGATGTTCCCCTCTGATCAGGCCGGGGTGCACCAGTTATTCCTGGGGCCTCCCAGTGTCTTCGGGGTGGTGGAGAAGTGGGGTGTGTTTGAGCCACAGGAGGGCGTGCTATGTGTGCAGGACGGCCCCGTCCTCCACATCCACCTGTGCCTCCCGCCCCCACAGTCAAGCGGAATTTCAGCAGCGTGGCTGCCTCGTCGGGCAACACGACCCTCAACGGGGAGGATGGCGTGGAGCAGACGGCCATCAAGGTCTCTCTGAAGTGCCCCATCACATTCCGGCGCATCCAGCTGCCTGCTCGAGGGCATGACTGCAAGCACGTCCAGGTGAGCGGTCCCGGCGGGGGCGGCTCCGGGGGGGGCGGGGTGTGAGCCATCCGACGGGGCGCTGAGGGGACGCAGGGGGGCCAGCGGGGCCTGGCTCCGATCCACAGAGCACTCTGTGGCCATCGGCAGCCATTCGTATTCACCCACCCCAGCCGTCGTTTGTCCGTGGAGCGTCTTCTCCATATGCCCAGGGCTCGGTTCCCAGGGAACCAATTTAGACAGTCCCTGTCCTGACGGATGTCGGGCGCCAGCTGGAGGTCCTGCGCACACGGCCACAGCTGGTTTGCAGCCCGAGAGTAAGGACACCTCTGCCTGATCACTGCTGTGTCCTGGGGCCTTGCCCCCAGCAGGTGCTCAGTCAGGGAACGAGTGACTCTCACCGTCTGGGTCGCTGCAGTCGGGCACTGTGCCAATGTGGGTGGCCTGGGTGGGTAGGATTCCCTGAGGGGTCACTGCTCAGGAAGGACTCCCAGAGGAAGACACAAGGAGCTTCCCTCTGGGAGAACAGTGTGGGCGACAGAGTCTGGGCTCTCGATTTGTCTGACACACGTTGACGAACTGGACCGGATGTGGTCTCGGTGCCGGGGCTGGGCTGACGGGGAGGCTGGCGTCCACGCTGCCCCCAGCCTCCGTGAGAGGGGCCGTCATGTGTCAGGGTTAGTGACGGGCACGCCAGGGAGCCTCCTCAGAGGACGTGGAGGAGGGCCACCAGGCTCAAGGGTGGTGTGAGGAGTGACGTGTGCAGGGCGTGGGGGTGGCCGGTTTGTCGCGCGAGCAGCAGAAAGGCCCCGTGACGGCCACCCGCGACGCCCCAGCTCCAGTTCTCTCCCAGCACTCCTCTCCCTCCCTGCTGGGAGATCCTCATAAGGGTCTCGGAGGTGGTGGCATTTGCGTCTCTGCATCTGCTCATCTGTCCGGCTGTCTGTCTCCCGGCCTCTGCAGTGCTTTGACCTGGAGTCGTACCTGCAGCTGAACTGCGAGAGAGGGACCTGGAGGTGTCCTGTGTGCAAGTGAGTAACAGCCACCCCGGCGGGAGCCTCCCCACTTAGCCGCGAACGGGGGGAGCTCACTGGCCTCCCTCTGGCCCTGCTCTCCGGGGCCCAGCCGCCTGCACCTGCCTTAAAAGCAAAACAGGGAACCCAGACACGGCAGAGGAGCTCCGAGCACAGGGGCTGTGAGCGGTCCTCTTGTGTCCAGCTGTCACGGGCCACCCTCCTCCCATCACTGCCTGCCGTAGGAGCCAGCTGCAGAGGCTCTTTGACACAGTGGGGAGGGGTGAGCTCTGTTCCTGCGCTCCAGGGTCCAAGAGCAAAGGCCAAGCCCCCCTCTCTTTTTTTCCAGTAAAACCGCTCTGCTGGAGGGCCTGGAGGTGGATCAGTACATGTGGGGCATCCTGAACGCCATCCAACAGTAAGTAGGCCTCCCCAGCCAGGGGCCGTGGGGGTGGGGGTGCTGGCCCGGATAGGCTGACGTGAGCACAGGGATACCCCTGATAGCCCCTCGCTCTCCAGGCTGGCAGACCACTCGCCCGCCCGGGCTCTCACTTCTCTGTGACTCTGTCTCAGGGACTTCTCTACCTGGGGGCAAAGGAACTTTCCAGAAAGGACCAAACTCAGCCAGAGCAAGACAGTGCCCTGGACAGCCACTTCCTGGGTGGGAGGCCTTGGGGCCAGCTGCTCTGTGCCCAGCCACTTACTTTCCTCACCTTAGTCCCCCAGTAAGATCCCTCACACCTCTGTCCTGTACAGAGTGTGGTGAAAGTGGGGGCAGGGACACCTCGGTGTCTGTCTGAGCTGGAGACTCCCGTATCCCAAGACCTCAGTTCTGCCCCCTTGCTCCCCCCAGCTCCGAGTTTGAAGAGGTCACCATCGACCCCACATGCAGCTGGCGGCCAGTCCCCATCAAGTCAGACCTACACATTAAAGATGACCCAGATGGCATCCCCTCCAAGCGGTTCAAGACCATGAGTCCCAGCCAGATGATCATGCCCAACGTCATGGAAATGATCGCAGCCCTGGGCCCCGGCCCGTCCCCCTATCCACTCCCACCTCCACCGGGGGGCACCAGCTCCAGCGACTACAGCAACCAAGGTGGGTGATACTGGACAAGGAGGAAGAGAGGAGACCCAGCAGGGCCCCAGGATTTCTGGGCTCATGTGGCAGGTGCAGGGGGGCGGGGTGAGGGAGGTTGAGGTCACTCGACCTGGGGGTACAGTGGCCCATTCGACACTTGTCCTCCTCTCCCTTGCCACCTGGTTCCATCCAGCCCTGTGGGGCAGCACCCAGCTAGGAAGGCACGAGTGAAGAGCTGCCCCATGAGCCAACCTCCTGCCTCTCCCACGCTGCCCTGCCCTGCCTCCTCGAGCTCCAGGGGACAGATAGCGCCTCGACTTCTTTGGAGCCTGCTTTGCTGGGGCCGCTAACAGAACACTCCCACTTGGAGTTCTTGGCCCCTCCCTGGGCCCTCCCATGTTACCCTGTGACATCTGTATTGTCCCTGTCCCTGCAGCACTCCCATCCTTCCAGGCACAGAGTCCAGGGCTCTGGAGCGCCAGTCTTTGGCCACCAAGGTCACCGTCACTGCCTCTAACTCTCCCCGCTGCCTAGACCAAGCTGTACCCTACTGCCCTGGGTTCCTAGAAAGTTCCCAGCTCCCTTAAACACAGGGGATGGAAGCCCCCCATGGGATCTAGGCTCCTGTATGATTAGAGGCCCAGAGAGGTGAACCCACATAGCAGGGTCCCACAGCGTGCAGAGGGCCCCAGCTTTGCAGCATGCTGGGCCTCTGGTCCCTCGCTATGGCCATGGGGTGGAGGGAGCGGTGGCCAGGGAAGCCAGACAGCTGATTTCTAATGGTGACCTCCAGAATCTGATGCTGCTTTCTTTGCAGACTGGGCAGATCCCGACCTCCCACTCTGGGCCCGGGTCTTCCCGCTGCTGAGGTGCAACCACCTGGGGGCAGTGGGAAACAGGTCTGGGGGCCTGCTCAGCAGATCCTGTGCAAGGCTCAGGCTTGGGCCTCGTCATCCCTGCCCCCCACCTCAGCAGCCTGGCCTACCCCTTGCTCAAGCTCTGCCCCCCCATAACTATAAAACAGCTCACATCCTGGGGTGCTGAGGCCCCCCAGAGAGGGATGCGTCGCTGCCCTGTTGTACAGCTGGGCGGTGTAAGGCCACAGGAGCCAACTCCAGCCTCAGGGGCCGGGACTCCTCTTGGTTTACATTACCCTCCCTCCCCCACCACGGGTGGCTGTCTTTCCCCCTGCTGCCATCTCCTTCCCTCCCCAGGCAACAACTACCAGGGCCATGGCAACTTTGACTTCCCCCATGGAAACCCTGGCGGCACGTCCATGAACGACTTCATGCACGGGCCCCCCCAGCTCTCCCACCCCCCGGACATGCCCAACAACATGGCCGCCCTCGAGAAACCCCTCAGCCACCCCATGCAGGAAACTGTGAGTACCTCTTCCTCACCCTGACCGCCTCCCCCCTTTGCCCCCATCCTCTGCGTGGGACTGATGGGAGCAGAGGACCCCCCCTCCCCGAGGACCTTTCTGATGTTTGCCTAGTCGCCTCCCGGGCAAAGGGGAGGACAGAATGAGAATTGGGTCTGGAGGAGCTCAGAGGGAGGGAGAGGCCTGACCCAGGCTGGGTCATGGCCCTTTGGCATTCTCGGACTTGGCTGTTTCACTCAGGACGTTGGATTCTCAGCTGGGGGAAAGCTGCAGGCTCCCATCTGCACAGACTGCGCATACACGTGTCCACCTCCCAAGTGTACCCACCTCGCCACTGCACACAGCAGCACCCCCCCACCCCCACAGCCTCTCTCCCTGACTTACACACACTCTTCTGCTGACTCACTGTAGCCCCAGCCGTCTAGAATTTTGTCTCAGACCCAGGCACTTGCTCCCCAGGGGTCTGAATCTTCAGGGTATCACCACCTCCTGCGGGAAGAAATGTTGGCAACTCTGTTTGGCCTGAGAATATTCGCTTCTCGTTCCACGTCACGTTTTAACACACACCCACTGGTGGTAAGAGGCCCGGCCATCCCCTGGGTCCTCATCCCGTGAGCACAGCCTGGTTCTGTTCGACTTCGCAGACATTTCCCGGGCCTGTGCTCTGGGCCAGGCCTTGTACCCATTGTGAGCAAGACAGATGTGAGCCTTGTGCCAATGGAGCAAAAGTTCTGGCAGTGCTCAGATGGAAGGAGTTGGGTTTTGGGAACACGGAGGCCTGAGGGCTGAAGTCAGGCCTCAGTCATCTTGTGCATCCCGGGTCTCTCCCCTTAGGAGGAGGGGGCGGTCACAGAAGGCCTGGCAGTGGGGTTGGGCAGGCCTGCACAGGAGGACAAGGCTCCGGGCCCTCTCATCTTCCACCATGTGGCCTGGGAGGAAGGGCCTCTGGATGGTATTATGTTCCATACAGAGTTGGCTCTGCCAGAAGCCATCTTGTGGGCAACAGCCACCGATTCTCAGCAGGAGTGACCGTTAACTGGAAGGCTGACAGGCTGAGGGACAGCGTAGCAACTTTCCTCTGGAACTCCAGAATGCCACGTCAGACGTAGCTGCTGTCACGGGGCCTTAGCCACCTTTTTGCAAGTTACTTTCTGCCGCATGGGGCTTCTGACTTCTGGTTCCTCTCTCCTAGCCCCCCTTCCTCAGCATTCTGTGCCCCGGAGTCATGCAGATCACACTCCACACACACTCACATGTCACACACCCTGACTCACAGCTCTCGGTTCCGGAAAATGGCCACAGGATGCCACGTACTTCTGGGTCCAGCAGGCTTTCTCCTGCCTTCTTAGCCGGGCCAGCTGGGGTCTTTGCAGAGGGACCTAAGCTCTTAGGTGACTTCCCAGCCCCCTCAAGATGCTCCCCAGATATGTACTGCCCTTCCCCATGTCTGGGCTTTTGCTAGGCGGCAGCTGGATCCAGAAGGACAGCTGTGCAAGAGGGACAGTAGGGTCACAGATACACTGCCCTACACCAGAGCAGCCTGGCTCTGGCTGAGCATCCGCCAGGAAGGACGCCCCCGTGTGCGGGAACTGGCGGAAAGTCTCCAGTGAGGCGTTGGTTCGCCACAGGACCCTCCCTTGCATAGAGCACCTGCCCCTCTGGGCCCTGGGACATTCCAGCAAGTTGTCAGGGCCAAGGGGGACAGCTGTGTCAGCAGATCAGGGGACTGTCTGTCCTGGGCTGGGCTGCTCCAGGAGTGTGGAGCCACTCCCTGCCCCCCTGACTGGGCACTGTGGGGCACCCACAGGCGTGGGTTTGGGGTCAGAAGCTGGCCTCATAGTGACGGTTGTGGTGGCCGTCCTTCCCGACTCTCTCGGTCCTTCATATCTCGTGTGCATTCCCCACGCAGTCCCACGGTCCTGCGGTCAGGTCCCCGCTTGGAGGGGCTCGCTGGACCGAGCAGAGGCCCACCGCAAGGCCTGGGAGCAGCTTCCAGAGAAACAGGGTCTGGAGGTCAGGCTGCTGTTTTCCAACCCATAACAGAAAAACAAAATGTCTGTGTGGCGTGGACGATGGGGTGGGTAGGGAGGTGCATAAGGACCCAGGAGACACGTGCTCACTGGCGGTCTGGCAAGTCCGTCTCAGCTGGACGAGCACAGTGCAAGCAGGGTGGGGTGACCTGTCGGGTCCCTGGCAGTAGGGTGAGGGTGTGGACTGGTGCTCTAAGATCTGAGCTCTGAAGGGAGGCCGTTTGGGACAGCACACAGACCAGCATACGGCCCCCGGCCCGGCCACAGCCCCGTGTTCCAGTGCATATGCCCGCGGGGAAGCACGGGCCCTCTGGTTTGTCTGTCAGGGAAGGACCACCTGCCCTAGCCTCAGCAGGGCACCCCCCCACCCCCGACTCAGTGAGCCCTTGGGCTCAGGGCGGGGCCTGGAGGACCCCCAGAGAGGCAGCCTATTGCCGCCTAGGTGGATGGCCAACAGGAAGGGTCTGGCAATGAGGAGAAGCGCCCCCAGCTCTGGAACCTCTTTGGCCAGCGTCGCCCACCGACCGGGGCCCATGGTGGGGCGCAGACCCCTCCCGAGCTGCACGCCTGCCCATGCTGTCTGTCCGTGTCTGCTCTCTGCCGCCCCAGCCCGCAGGGGGGCCTGCACCACGCTGCCAGCAGCACCCCTCCCGCCGCCTCCCCGCTCCCTGGAAACATGCCCATTTTGCTTCTCCATTCTGCCCTTGCTGTTCATTGTGGTGGTGGTGTCCGGGCTGCAGAGGCGGAGGGGCTTGCAGGGGCCTGCAGCCCGCTCTCAGTGTGTGCTTGTCTCCGAGCCCCTGGCCGCCTCCCTCCCGGACCCACTCGGCCTCAGAGGCCCCCTCCCCGCCTCCCCCTCCACAGCCTCCTGGACTGGCAATTTTGGGGGAGGACTTTTGTTTGTTTGTTTCTCTGCAAAACAACAACAACAAAGCATTGAGCTTTTGTAAGGGGGTGGCTTTGTTTTGGGGGTTTGTTATTTTCCCGGTTTTGTTTGGTTTTCATTTCTCCAGGCATCTCGTCGCTGTACCTCGTCACCTCACATTTCTTTTCTCCTGCTCTCTCCTCCTCCACAGATGCCACACGCTGGCAGTTCTGACCAGCCCCATCCCTCCATACAACAAGGTTTGCACGTCCCACACCCCAGCAGCCAGTCAGGGCCTCCATTACATCACAGTGGGGCTCCTCCTCCTCCTTCCCAGCCTCCCCGGCAACCGCCACAGGCCGCTCCCAGCAACCATCCACACAGCGACCTGACCTTTAACCCCTCCTCAGCCTTAGAGGGTCAGGCCGGAGCGCAGGGAGCGTCCGACATGCCGGAGCCTTCGCTGGATGTAAGTTGGGGTCACCACTGGCCTTGGCCTGGGACTAGGCCTGGTGCCGGGACCTGCCCAAGCGCAGGGGTGGGTGTTGAGGGCTCAAGGCCCAGGGTGGAGGAGGTGCAGCTGTGAGGGGGTGGGTGGGTGGTGGGTGGGCCTAGCCAGCCTGCCTCCCCTGGCTCCAGAACCAGGGGATCCCACAGCAGGGAAGCCTCCCCGAGGGTCCCAGCATCCTTTCCCTGACCTTGCCAGCGCCTGCCCTCTGGCCCCCTCGGCCACAGTCCTGCAGCCCCACCCCGCCCCCCCCCACCTTCCCCCACACCCCCCCCCCAGGCCCTCACAGAGTCCCCCCGGGGCAGGGTTCTGGAGGAAGCACAGGAAGGCCCCTGCCCTTCTTCTGACCCCCTCCCCACCACCCCCACCCCCCACATCAAGCTTGCCATCTCAGTGTCCGCCACACTCTGGCCTGAGGCAGGGGAGGGGCTGGAGTGACAGGGTCCCTCTGTCTGTGTCGCCGGTTTGTGTCCGTGTCCAGTTTCCTGTCCGTGCGTCGTCCATGCCCTGTGCTTCTGCTTGCTCCATCGCTCGCTCTGAGAAAGGACCAGCCTCGGGTCGTGCCGGGGTTCCTGGGGCAGAAGTGGGTGCCTGAGATTCAGGGGTCTCCCACCTTGGGACCCGAATGGTCTGGAAAGTGGGGTGGAAGGAGGCTCCCTGTGATGGGGGCCGGGCAGCTGGCTAGAGGCCCCTGCCCCTCCCCTCCCATCCCACACCCCTGGGCTGTAGATTCCCAGAGAGGAATCTGCTCTCTCCTCAGCCACTGCCGTCTGCACGCCCCAGTCCCACTGTCACCCTCAACCCCGGCAGTGTCCGGCTTCATGGTGAATGGGGTTTATTCAGCGGTGCGGCCATCTTGAATTCTCACCCGGCTCTCCTCCCCAGACCAGGCCAGTGGGGCTTTTAGGTTCATGAGGATCCCCAGTGTGACAAAAAGGCTCCAAGGGCCTCACAGTGGAGGAGGGTAGGGACAGTGTGCAGCCTCGGCCCCGGGGGCCACTGGGAAGGATGGTGCTATGCTGCCCTCCAGTCGTAGGCTCGCCAGGGGGCAGTGAGCTCTTGAAGGAAGGTCCAGGGTGGCGAGAGCAACAGGCACCACGCGGCCTTACGTGCAAAGCCACATGGTTCCGACTGGGAGGCCCACGTGACCCACACCTCCTCTGGGCAGGGTCTTGGGGCCAGAGGCACAATGGGATCAAGAAAAAGCCCCTTGATGCCATGAGCCTTCCCAGCTGGTGGGCCAGGGGCAGCCCCCCTCCCAAGCTGGGAATAAGCACGGGTATGCCTCAGACTAGCACTGTGGCCTGGATGCCTTTGAGGACAGCCAGCATGGTTAGTTTCCCCTGTTGGGCCAGGACCCCAGGCAGCAGCTAGAGGGCATGTGCCCCTGCAGTCCTCACTCTGGGCCAGCCCAGCCCCTCAGCTGACACCTCATCTGGGCTTCTGTACTTCTCTTCCAGCTCCTTCCAGAACTCACAAATCCCGATGAGCTCCTCTCGTACCTGGATCCCCCTGACCTGCCGAGCAATAGTAACGATGACCTCCTGTCTCTCTTTGAGAACAACTGAAGCCCGCTCCTCCATTGGGGCCATCCCTCCCCCTCTGCCTCCTTCCCCGTCTGTCCCCCACACACTTTACCACTGGGAGCCCATGCCCTCAGACCGCCCCTGCTGCGGCCTTCTCAGAGCAGAGGGGCGGGAGGGTGCACTGTGAAGGCTGTGTGGGTCTGGTGCCCATGCCCAGAGCAGGCCCTGAAGATGACCCTCGCAGTGGGGAACCGGCCCAGCGAGAGGGCACACGCTGATGAAGGCTTCCTGTCCCTCCGTGTGTGCTGATTCCAAACGACCCTCCAGTGCCCCCGAGGTTCTTCCGGTTTCTAAACTGTAATCCTGCCTCCCTGCTTCCTGGCCCAGAGCCTCCTTCAAGTGACTGTGAGCCTGAGAGAGGGGCACCCCGAGACCCAGGCAGCCCCCCCCCAAGCCTTGGAGGAACAGTGACGGTTGGCGGCAGTGAGAACGACCCACCCTCCACCACCACCACCACCACCACCCACCACAGAAAAGCACAAACCTCTGGGAAAGAGAACTCTCTCAGGGGCCAAGGTCGTCACTTTGACCCCTGATCTCTAAGCCAAGATACCCTGTAAAAACACTCCTCTCTCAGAAAGCAGAGAAAAAGGACAAGATTCTGTGTTTGAGAGAGGGTGTGCCATTCCTGCTTGGGGACTGGTGGGAAAGGGGGTCAGGGCCTCCTCAGAGCCAAGACAACGCAGGTGGCCCCACGACCTCTGGACTCAGGCCGGGGGGTGGGAGTGGGGGGGCAGAGAGAGAGTGCCCAGCCGAAAATATTGTGCCCTTAGTTGGGGGGCAGGGGGATGCCGCCAGCCGGAGTTGGTTAGGAACGGCAACTTACAACTTTGCTCCAAGCCGCTCCCTGTTTTTAAATGACAATTTAATTAAGCTACGAAGTCATCTGAGAAAAGGGACGGTGGACTCGGACGGCAAGCAAACCATTTCTCTCCATGCGTCCTGTTCCCTTCCTCCCGCCCCAGCCCACCTCTCCTAGACTGTTATGTGGGACACCCGTTTCCCTCTGTCCCCGTTCTCTGTCCACCCTGCCAGCCGGGGGCGCCAGTGGAGAGGCGGGAGGCCCGGGGCACCTGCGCATGCTCGGCAGCAGGAGCCCCGGGCATCGGCACCTGGGCGGCCCGGCTGCCCCATCTGCCCCTGTGCTCCAGGCTGCCCCAGCTGCACCCCGGTCCGTCACCACACGTGCCGGAATGCGCCCGCAAGCATCCCGTGGTGTTTCCGTGCCGCGCTTGGCTGCCGGCTTCTCCCTTCCTCCGTGTCCCTCTGCCCTGCAGAGCTGCCCACACTCCTGCTCGCTCGAGCAGAAGCAGCCTCTGGTTTTCCCTCCACTGCTTCGCTCCATCCGGCTTCCTGCTCTCGGAGTCTCCCGGGGAGCTTGTGTGGGCGTCCGTTTTGTTTGGGGGTCCTCTGTGCCCCCCCCCCAAGCCTCATGGCCTGTGATGCTGCTGGGCCGTCAGGTCACTTGGGTCACGTCTGTGAATTCGTTGCGCCCCTCCCTGCTGCTGCCTGGGGCATCCTGCTTTCCGTCCACTGTCCCGCGTTCTCAATCTCCGTCTCCCCCCCCCCCTGCCGCCCCGTGGCGGGTGGTCCCCAGCACTCCTCTGGATTTGACCGGAACGGTGGCCCCAGCTGTTGATTCCCCAGTCACTGTACCAGACGGCCGGCACACGGTTTTCTGTAGGAAAGCTGCCGTGGTCCCCGCCCCCTTTTCCTTTGTTCCGTTGTCGAGGTTTTTTCAGACAGTGTGGTGTTCCGTATGCAAATCAATTATTTTAAGAATTGCTTTTGTAAATATCTTTGTGAATATTTTAGTATTGTCTTTGATAATATTCGACATTTTCATGACCTGGTTATAGCCTTTGCTGGTGTTTTTAAAATACCTTGACTCAATGACAAAGACCGAGTCCTTTTTTTTAAAAAACAACAAACAAAAACAAAAAAGCAACCAGGGCTATTTGTACAGATGAAGGGACAAAGTACATGGGTGAGTGAGATCAGGCCGCCCACTGCTTAGAGCCATCCCCAGTCGACTGGTGGGGACTAGACGATGCCAGGTAGCATGTGGCCATCCTGGCCCGGTGGCCAAGAGCCCTGGCGGGTGGCCACACTCTGTGTTAGGCCATCTGGGAATGTTCTGCCCCAGACAGACTTACAAATGCCTTCCTTAGAAGTTCCTGCTTCCTGCTGTGCTACTTTTTTCCCAGAAAGGCCTGGGGTCCATTCTGGTTCTTATCGGGTGTCCCCACTCTGCTCACCGACCTACCCACAGCTTTCTAGGACAGAGGGTCGATCTGCTCCCCACAGCCCGGGCTCTGGGCACCTCCCTCAACCGTCTCTGCATGGAAGCCAGGGCCTGGTTCCCTGAGGCAGGTTTCCTGGGGCCCCTCCCACGCGAACCTCCACCAGCAAGTTGGGCAAAGAGCTTTCCCGAACCGTGGTGCCTGAAGCCCATGCTCTGGGGACATGCTCTCCCAGAGTGATTTTGGAGCCAGGCCAGAAGGGTGAGGGAGGCAGAAAGGTGTCCGGGGCTGGAGCAAGCCCCGGCTGGTGACAGATTCAGGTGACAACAGCCTCCCCGAGCCAGAGCGGCCGGTTCTGAACTCTAGGGAAGATGCTTCCCTCATCCTTTTGGACGACTACTTGGAGCCATAAGTAACCTCAGCAAAAACGAGGCCTCAGCAAGCCACTTCTCCATGACAAGCACCCACCCAGGCCGTAGACGCGTTTCTGCTGCCACTCCACGAGACGGAGAGGGCGTCAGCGGGCAGGCGGGAAGGCCCGAGTACAGGCAATCACCCCATCTCCTTGGTTCGAAGCTTTACCCGTGTATCATGTTCCCTGTAGCCATTTTATTTTTTAAGAAACTTCTGATACTTTCTCCCTCACGGAAGCCCGAAACCCCCCAGAGAGCTACCCGTCTGCTCCCTCGACCTGACCATCTAGACAGGACGACGTCAGCAGCAGCGACTCAAGGAACAAGGGACGTGTGTACATATGTAAATGAGAAATAGAGACACGTTAACAGATGCATTCATTTCCCTTGGAATGTGTATTGTTTTTATTTTACGGAACAAAACAAAACAAAAAAAGGCTTGGAACTCCATCTTAACGTGGAAAAACTAGATCCTGTTTGTTAGCGTTCGTGAGGTCTCTCTTCACATTTGTCTCATGTAATATACTCTGCCCCTGTGTGGAAAGGAATTTTTGTTCTGTTTTGTTTTTATTTTACCTACATGTACTATTTAGCTTCAGTGTACTAGTCCGGCCACCTGTGTATTTTTAGGGTGCTATGGAAATAATGAAAAGAAACGGGGATTTCAGAAGAAAATTGTAACCAAATTCATACTTTGTATAATTTTTTGATATCATGATTGCAGGTGATTCACACGTACACACATAAACACACCCACAGTGCAGCCTGAAGTAACCCCCACAGAAACTATCATCGCCTTCGTACATCTATGTACAATGCAATCATTTCATACTTTAAACTGGTCAGAAAACTAATTGTGATTTCTAGTCTTGCAAAGCTGTATGTAGTTAGATGATGTGACAACCTCTAATATTTATCTAATAAATATGTATTCAGATGAAACCTGTATATTAGGTGTTCATGTGGTTATTTTGTATTTAAAGATCAAATTATTTGACTATTGCTAGACATTTCTATACTCTGTTGTAACACTGAGGTATCTCATTTGCCCATGTTAATTGTTTTTTAAATAAATTGACAAAAAACGAAGGTTTGGCGAATTAGCTATTTTGTGAATTGTAAGGAGTGGTTTGGGTGTTTGTTTCTGCTTCTAAACCACCACCCCTGCCTGATCACCCAGCCAAAAAAAAACAGCAAGCAAGCGAGCAGTCAGGAGGTTTGGTGTTAATCTGGAGGAGCCCCTACCACGGGTGTCCCTGGAGGAGGCCCTGGGACCTGGGACCGGGTGATCATGTTCAGACCCCAGGGCTGCCTCCTGGTGGGACTCCAGTCTGCAGCAGGCCCCGCTCCTGTTAGTGGGACCCTACCACGGGTGTCCCTGGAGGAGGCCCTGGGACCTGGGACCGGGTGATCATGTTCAGACCCCAGGGCTGCCTCCTGGTGGGACTCCAGTCTGCAGCAGGCCCCGCTCCTGTTAGTGGGACAGCTGGGGTCTCAGGGAGGGTGTGCAATGCTGACCAGGCTCAGAGCAAGCCCCTTGTGGACTTTCTAGGTTTGCAGAGCAGGAACCTATCCATGCCAAGCCCCAGAGGGTGCTGTCCAAAGCATCCAGAATGAAGATCTGGAAGCCCAGCGAGGCTTCATGGATCCTGCTGACTCAGCCGATCTCACCCTTGGCTGGCTCTCTCACCCTCTCCCTCTGGCCATCCTACTCCTCAGCACCCCTGCCCCCCACCATCCCAAGGGACCTTGGGATTTCTCTTGGGTTTTCTCTTCTCCATGACTGTGCTTTGGGTGGGGTTCTGTAGCCATAGCCCCTACCCAGGCCACTGTCCTAACTACTTGTAGCCTCAGCCCCTGACGCAGACTCACTGCCCTCCCTGTGTCTCCTCCTGGACTTTGGGGAAGTGAGTCTGACTCTCAGAGCCCAGTAGGGGGCCGCTGCTCCCCCTCTGGGAGCTCTGGGCCTGACCTTCCCTCCACAGGGACTGGGTGAGGGCACGTTCCAAGAAGGAAGTGGGGGCTGGCAGGCGCCCCCAAATATATCCCCTGGAGTGTAGCTGGGGTGTGTGTGGAAATGCATGTCAAGAGAGTGTACAGGTCTCCTAAGTGTGAGGGGGTGGGGCGTGGGGGCACGCAGGAAGCAGCCAGGATGAGGGGTGCGTGGTTTCATCAGCTACGGAACTGCCTGTGGGGAACGGGGTGCCTGGAAGTCCCCTGCCTGTGGGGCTTCTCCAGGGTGGCCAGTTTCTGTTTCTGGTGGGAGATGAAAGGTGGGGGGAGGAGAAGTTACATTAAAAATGGAATCCTGGGGCACCTGGGTGGCTCAGTCGATTAAGCGACTGCCTTCAGCTCAGGTCATGATCGTGGAGTCCCGGGATCGAGTCCCGCATCAGGCTCCCTGCTCGGCAGGGAGTCTGCTTCTCCCTCTGACCCTCCTCCCTCTCATGCTCTCTCTCTCTCTCTCTCTCTCTCTCAAATAAATAAATAAATTTTTTTAAAAAAATGGAATCCTGGCCACTGCTGAGCCATGGACGCTGCCTTCTGCCCAGCGTCATGGGGGCAGGAGGCGTTTTCTCTGAGAGCAGACACCCCTCCTAGAGGAGGGGCCGCCCCAACCTCCCGTCGCCTTAGCACAGTGCTGCTCCAGGACCCGGCGAGGGACCCACGAAATCCACCTGGGCTGTGACCAGCACCCCTTCCTGAAATGGATGAGAGCAAAGGAGAACAGCAAGAGCACTTGGGAGGGTTCCAGAGTAAGGGAGGGGATGGATCGTGAAACGTTCATTGCAGTTGTGCGTGCGTGTGTGTCTGCTGAATCATGATGTCAAATTAATTCTTACTTGTGGGTTGTGGTTGAAAACAAAAAGTTTGAATGCCATCGCCTTCAAGGCAGGAAGTGGGCAGGGGATGGGGAGAGAGAGGCAGGGCAGTAGGCTTCCCTAACGGTATATAAAAAGCAAACCGTCCCAGCGTTCTCACTTCGGGGCCTGAAACCAGCGTTACTGCGAAATACGGGTCTGTGCTGCCTGTCGAGGCTGCGTGGAGACCCGCCCGCCCCAGCCCCACCCCACCAACTCCTCCAGAGCCTGGTCACTTCCTTCTCCGGGCCTAGAATAAGTCCCCAGGAGGAGCTCGAGGAGGGCCTGGCTCTCAGGGCTGCTTGGAGGGCGGCCCCCCACCCGGGGCCACACATCCCATCCTCCAGCTCAGGCGTCATCTTGCGTTTCTGTTCTTTGCAACCCACCCCACAAAGCCCCCACCCTGATGCCAATGACTGTCCCTCCACATAAGACCATAGCGTGCTGTTGGGGAAAGTCACTCAGTCCCCCAGGTCAGTGCCAGGACAAATCAGGGTCTCTAGCCCCGCTGAGACCTCAGGGCATGGTCTCCGACCCCCCTATCCACCCATGTCCCTTGTTCTGTCCTGTGCACCAGCCTTCTGCTCAACAACACCCACCGCACTCTAAGCAGGTTACCCATCACCGAAACCCTCCCACACCGTGCTCCCCCACCCACGACCCTACCTCCACCCTCCCCCAGCCTTATCTTCTTCTGTCCAGGCCCAGAGGATGTGGTGGCCCTTCTCCCAGCCCCTGACACCACTACCTCCTTCTGTCCCAAGAGGGGCTTCACTCCATCAGCTGGCTCCTTTCTTGCACCTTCCCCGGATC